CCCTCTCCTCCCCCTCTTCCTCCTCCTTCTCCTTCTCCTTCTTCTTCCTAGGGCTGAGAGAGGGAAGGGACTGTCCAAGATGACCCAATTAGTTTTGTATCTAAGATGGGACTAGAACTCACAGACTAGTCTGGTATATTAATTGCTCCACCAAACTCTTTCTCCTAAAAGTCCAAAGCCACCCTCAAAGTGCAAATTTGATTCTTTGAGCATGCAACTTACCTGCATTGATACCTCTGCTGCCCTGTTAGTCAAATCAAGTGCCTTAAACCAGGTTCTTAAGGAGTTGTGGGTGCTCTGGAATGTACCTCCAGAACTTACCTCCAGAAGTTTTGGGTGCTCGAACACTGAAGGTTTTTAAGAAGAGATTGAAACTGACCAAGGAGAGAAGCAACCTGGAACTGAGGAGAAATTTCCAATTAATCAGTGGAACAACTTGCTCCCAGAAGTTGTGGGTGCTTCAACACTAGAGGTTTTTAAGAAGAGATTTGGCAAACATTTGTCTGGAATGCTACAGGGTTTCCTGCTTGAGCAATGGGTTGGACTAGAAGATCTCCAACATCCCTTCCAACTCTATTATTCTATTATTCCAACGTCCCTTCCAACTCTATTATTCTATTATTCAACAGGTACTTCAGAAGAGAGTTAGGATTGGAAGAAGAAGAAAAAAAGCTGCATTCAGTCTCTTAAATAGGTTTTTCATAAGAAAAACTGAAGATAGAATTTCTCCAGCAAGCTAGTTGTACAAAAATATTGACTCTACAGGTTTAGGCACAATGCAAAGGCAGTAGGTTGAGTTCAGACTAATCCCCTCCTCCCTTACTATGTATTCAAGATTATGCAATCCATTTAAAATATTTTGTTTTCCTTCCATGCAGATTTTCTGGCCAGCATCAACAGCCAAGGTGGATGAGTGCAAAATGGCTGGCAAAGATCCCACAGTAAGTTTTTTATTGTTCCTTTTAATTATACATTTGGCAGCCTGGACCATCAATACAGCCAAGAGCATAAGGGAAATGGCATTTTTTTTCTTTTAATACTCTTTGGGCTGGATGATCCTGTGAAATTTGATAGATGCAAGAGTCTAGATCAGAGGTCCAGAACCTTTCGGTACCGGTCCGCAGACTGTTGGGAAGCAGGCCGCACAAGTGGCAGGCAAGTGAGCAAAACTTCATCTGGACATACACGCAATCTAGGTTGCACATACCAAACCACCCCACCACACATACACACACTCTGCCCCCAGTCCATAGAAGACCATTTTTCTGCATCCGGGTTTGGTTGCCGTGCTGTAAAAAAGATGCTGAGACATAGAGCAGAGAAAGCAACAAAGATGATTAGGGGACTGGAGGCTAATACACATACATACATACATACATACATACATACATACATACATACATACATACGCTTGTACCTTCAGGTCTTCTTCTTCTCCTTCTCCTCCTCCTCCTCCTCCTCCTCCTCCTCCTCCTCCTCCTCCCCCTTCCTAAATGCATCTATACTATGTTAACCATCACAATCCTGTATCCTGTATTCTGATGAATAGTTGCAGGAATTGGGTAGGCTTACTTTAATGAAAAGAAGGACTAAGCATTACAGGATAGCAGTGTTCCAGTATCTAAGGGGCTGCCACAAAGAAGAAGGGGGTCAAGCTATTCTCCAAAGCACCAGAGGGCAGGACAAGAAGCAACGGATGGAAACTAATCAAGGAGAGCAGCAACCTGGAACTAAAGAGGAATTTCCTGACAGTGAGAACAATTAATCAGTGTAACAACTTGCCTTCAGAAGTTGTAAATGCTCCAACACTGGAGGTTTTTAAGAAGAAATTGGACAACCATTTGTCTGAAATTGTACAGGGTTTCCTGCCTGAGCAGGGGATTGGACTAGATGACCTCCAAGGTACCTTCCAACTCTGCTATTCTATACTGTTCCATGAATAAAAATGAAGAAAAATTAGCTTTCATTTGCTTTACCTAACCCAGGCTTAAACATTGAATTAACTGATAAGAAGAGAACCTCCTTGCCTCTTCCGAAGTTGATCCCTGGAGCCAGAAAGGTTGGAGATACCTAGTCTAGATTTCACCACCAGGGTCTGGAAAACGTAGCACGTTGCTTATCTTCAGAACCAAGCTTTTTTTTAAAAAAATACAACCATGTAAAGCAAACATAATTTTGTCTTGCTTTTCTTCTAACTAATATGGAAACCATTGGTATGACTTGCTTTCAATGTCTCTTAAAGAATATAAGGCAGACTGATCTAATACTCATATAATTCCTTGGATAGGATCCCAAACAGTATATACGATCCTTTTTTGCATGGTGAACAAAAAAGAAGAAATTTATACATTCTTAAAGCACTTACTGCCTGATCATAAAACACTCTTTTTGGCAGATGCCTGAAGAAGCTTAAAACTTTCTTAGAGCAGGTAAATGTGGCCCGTATGTTATTAGAATTAAAGCATGGATTAGGGAGAAGGATTGTCTGTTAAACCAATTACTGGGGAGAAAAATAAAATCTCAAAGAAATTCTGGATCAAACAAGGCAGCATCTTTGCTGAGTTAAGAGATTAATGCGGTGTATCGCGCAACTCTTAAAAAGGCTGCAGTAACAAATTAAAAGAATTATAATTCCACTTCATTGGTTGGAGTCATGCACTAGTCTGGCTGAACATTTAGTGCTGAAAACTCAGAACTCACTTTGGAGAATATATATATATATTTAAAGAATATATATATATATATTTAAAGAGCTGTGCTAAGCATTCACTGTCTCTTTTATTATGACTTCAGTTCTTAAGACATTTAAAGTGGGCATCAAAGAGTGTTATAAAAATTTCAAAGGTTTTAATCGTGTTGGGAGTTTTGGACTAGTTGAAGTCGGCTGTGTTTTGCTTGACCATCGTTTATTCATAGATCATAATTTTGTCAGTTTTTACAGCTTATAAAGCCAGAAATCCATGATTCACAAACTAGAGTCCAGGTTTCCAAGAACACGCTAAACTAAACTAAAAACATTATGATACATAGTTTGACTAAAGGGTGTCAGAATATTGTTCAGCATGATTTTCCTATGAATCATAGTTTTAGGTAGAGAATTTCTTTGATGAGAAACTTCATTTAAAAAAAATACACTGCTTTTATCAAACTATCAATACCCAGATAGATATGTAGGCTTTATGGATCTAAATGGTAATGCATAAATACATGCACAGCGGCCATTATATGAAATATTTTTCTTCTAATATTGGAAAATGGTGTGCTTGTTTTTAATTGATTATACAACTGCATTATCAAATTTTGCAGTACTGTGTGATCCCCCTGAAAGAATGTTTTAAAAATCTCCCATACAGAAATAAAGCCAATGATTTTGTTGGTCTTAACATGGAGCAATAATCAATGGACCTCTGACTTGGAATAATTACCATTATAACATCTACAGCAAGCAAAAAATAGCATCTTAACTAAGTTCTAAATTAAAACTTTTTCATTGGAAATAAGCAGAAAGCCCATCCGTTGTAACCGTGATGGCAAACCTATGGCACCTATGGAACCAATGGAACCTATGGTAGTGCCATTTTTGCCGGCATGCGAGCTGCAGGCAAACTTATCTCACTGTGCATGTGTGCACCTCACAGCTGATTTTCAGTGGGTTTGAGGCCTTTTTCAGCCTCCCAAAGGTTTAAGGAAGGCTTCTGCAGGCTTCTGCAGGCCTTGCAGGCCAAAAACTAGCCCCATTTCATCACTTCCTGTTTTTCCTGAAAATACTAGAAGTGACGAAACAGGGCTAGTTTTTGGCCTGCAAAAGCCTGCAGAAGCTTTCCTCAAGCCTCTGGGAGGCCGAAAAAGGCCTCAAACTGGCTGAAAATCAGCTGTGAGGTGCAATGCAGGTAAAGGGGTGGCAGGGGTGGGTGGGTGGGTATTGCACACACATGCATAGGGGGCATGGAGGGGCGTGCATTGCCTTCTGGGTGCTGGCACGTGAACGTGCAAGTGTGCGCACAATTTTTGGCACAGGAGCCCAAAAAGGTTAGCCACCACTGCCTTATAATGTTTTCATAAGAAGTAGCTAATGTTATGGCTGGTTCAAAGAACCACCAAATCCCACCCCTGGCTCCTTTTAACTGATCGAGTCTCTGAAAATCTTTCTCAAAGGACATGGGAGAGATGTGTTATTGTACATATGTCCCGGGTCAGAGCATACATTCATTCTGACATTTTTATTAATATGGGTATTATTAAGTTATGAAATGGGTCCAACTCTGACCCTTGATTGAGCTGCAGTTCTAGGCAGCCCTAGTCAGGACTGAAGGATGCTGGATGTTGTAGTTTAGAAACATCTGAAAGAGGATAGATGTTTTGACCTAGGCTTCACAAAACCACGAAGCAGACTCCTCGTCCCGACAAAACCCCTTTTATTTAGGCTAATGTGAATTCCTCTCATTCATATCCAGCAAAGTCCTGGCAAACAGTCTTTCAAGAGTGATTTACAACCACAGACCTTATCAGGCTTGGAGAGCTGCCAGGCCGATAGCTTCCAAGAGCAATGCTGTACCAGAAAATACTTGGCAAGGAGTCAGGAACAAATCTTCACCCTAATTAAATGAACTAATTGTCTCCTGCAAATACCGCTCCCCCTTTACTCCTCTTTATTCCCTATGGGAGGGGCCATTCACCGTCCACCTGAGCCTTTACTCCCAAGTCCACCCTTGTTCCTTAACTGTTTCCTTCTCCTGGCAGCTCTGTGCATGCACACACTGGGAACAGGCTCCAGCTGTTCTTCTTCCCCACTTATCTCTGACTCCGAAGGCTGCTGATAACTGTCAGACGGCCCTGGCCCCATCTCTGCCTCGGATGCAGAGCCCTCGTCAGAGTCTTCCCCCGACTCCAGGATTGGCCCATGTTCCACCCCAACCTCCTCACTGTCTGGGTCTGTCACCAACTCCACTGGCCGCTGGCAGGCCACAACAATAGTAACACCACCTACTTTGTAAAAAATCTCAAGATTTGGTCAGTTAGACACCCCATTAAAACCTCCATTTAAAGCTGAATGTTAAATAGTGGGTTTATTCTAATCCTAAAAAGAATTCCACCCAAGGGTAAGGCAAAGTCAGTGTACATTGTCCCCTCAAAATGGGAAGGGATAAGTCCTAGAATCTTTTTTTTTAAATATCCCTCTTCCCTTTCTTGAATCTTTCTATTGACTTGAGAGTTGACCAAATGCCTTTTCTTAATGTCTAGACAGTTTGTCCAGCCGTCCTGAAAATTTGCTGGTAACATTAATCGTGCCAGACAAGAAACATTTAACCACCCATGTGGAAGTTGTAAACATGGGGTTTGTTCCTTTTCCGTTCCTGCCGTTCTTTCATTCCTTGGTTCATTGTACACTCTTGAGTAAGGCCTGCTGGTGCATTTTGCACACAGATGTTTCTACTCCAGATGTGGGCTTATAGAGGACCCAGCTTGGCCTTTGTTCACAGCACCTGCTAATGATCTTGAAGTTTATGTACATGAGAACCATCATTTATCACTGCACAACATGCCTCAGCCTCCTCTTTCTCCAATCTTATCTTTATTTGAGAAGCAGAAGGGAAGGGAAATTGGAGTGGTAAATGACTATGGAGATTATCCATCCTCCAGGTCATGGTTGACCCAAAGGTGCTTTTTCAAGAGGTGACTGGACTTTCTGTTGTTGCTTTTTTGGAGATGTTTTGCTTCTCATCCAAGAAACATCAACATGTGTGAATAAATGGTGGGGAATTGAAGGATTTATACTCCTTGCAGACAGCTGGTCATTTGCATCCTTTTAGAGAGTCATTGAGGCCACCTGGAGGTTCGTCTGTGCCCTCATGTTCACCTGAATAGATGCAGGGAGCATGGACTCATCCCCAACAGCCTGCACCTGCGTTCAATAGTGAAGGGACACAGGGCAGAAAACATCCTGCAGAAAGGATCCTGCAGAAAGTCCTTTCAACAGTTCCAAGAAGGCTCCACACCCATTTGGTGGCCCTGACGAGACAGAGAAACCTCCAAGTGGCCTCAGCGACTCTCTAAAAGGATACAAATGACCAGCTCTCTGCAAGGAATATAAATTCTTCCGTTCCCCATCATCCAGTCAGAGCTGAAGAAGCTTCTTTGATGGGAAGCAAAATGTCTTCAAAGAAAAATGAAAGAAAGTCCAATTGCTTCTTGAGAAGGCACCTTAGGAACAATTTTAGTGGTAGTTTTAGACCCTTGGGTAGGTTCATCAACACATGCTAAATTAACTGGCTGAATTATTTTTGTTGCTTCTCTTCTTTACGTTGGGCAAAGGTGCCACCAATCTAGATAAGAGAGATTGGATTGCTGGGGTTGTTTTTTCACCCCTGTTAGTTCCAAAAAATGTATTAATGTGAGACTCAGAAGGGCTTGAAGTTGGTGAAATGAGAACTAATGATTCTCAGGCCAATTCTCTCTCTTTCTTTGAAGAAAGAGATGGCCCAAAAAAACTGTTTGCTTAAAATGGTGAAATGAAAAACCTGGGTGGAATGGGAAAACTCACCATGGTCAAGTCACCATGGCCAATTTACCACAGCCAACTTGCCACGGGACAGCTTTCTGTGGGACAATAAACCAGTGGAACAGCTTGCCACCAGAAATTGTGGGTGCTCCAATACTGGAGGTTTTTAAGAAGAGACTGGAAAATCACTTGTTTAGAATGACATAAGATCTCCTGTTTGAGCAGGGGGTTGGACTAGAAATCTCCAAGGTCCTTTCCAGCTCTATTCCATTTGATTGATATTGATTGATTGATTGATTGATTGAAATGGTCTTGGGTCTCCTGCTTGAGCAGGCGTTGGATTAGAAGCCCTCCAAGTCCCTTCCAAGTCCATTATTCTGTATTCTATTCTAATGTGGCTTGTTGTGATGTAACATTTATGTGCAGGTTCATCCATTTTTTACCCTCTGCAGCATGGTTGTGGCAATTTTGTTCGGGTGATACAGATGTTCAACCGCACCCATTTATACGTTTGTGGGAGTGGAGCATTCAGTCCCGTCTGTGCATACCTCAACAGAGGACGAAGATCTGAAGTAAGTAGATTCTTTAAAATGGTTTTATCTCTTGATCAGTTCAAAGTCTGTGCAGAGTCTCAGTCATCCAAGTCATGGTTGTCCCAGGGGTGGGATTCAAAAATCCCAGCAACCGGTTTGCTGCCCAGTTGCTGGGTGGGCACAGCCATGGTGGACGTGGCCTACCAGGACCTCTGCAAGGGCCATTTTGCGCCTTTCCCAGAGTCCGGAGGCTTTCCTCGGGCCTCTGGGAGGGAGAAAACAGCCTTCCCCGGGCTCTGGAGGCCTCCAGAATCTGGAAACAAGTCCGTTTCACAACTTCTGGTACTTCCGGAAGGGCTGTTTTTCCCCTTCCAGAGGGAGTCGGTCGGTTTAAACACTGGTTCAGCAAACCAGATGCAAATTTAACATCCAGTTCACCCGAACTGGTCCGAACCGGTAGAATCCCACCCCTTTGTTGTCTCAAAGGTGCTTTTTTCAGGAGGCAACTGGACTTTCTGGTTTTTCTTTGAAGTCATTTCACTTCTCATCCAAAAAGCTTCTTTAGCTCTGGCATTCTCCACTATCCTGTCAGAGCTGAAGAAGCTTCTTGGATGAGAAGCAAAACGTCTTCAAAACAAAAAAACAAGAAAGTCCAGTTGCCTCCTGAAAAAAGCATTTTTGGGTCTTGATTAGTTGCTAACCTACATTTACATTTTCCAAGTAAAGAGGTTTGTTTTCTTAAAATGAAAACATTCCCTAAAGTGGATCATTTTTTCAGGAATTCTTGATTTGCTTAAACCTAAGCACTATTTTTAACTTTTGGACAACTCCTCTCTCAATCACATTTATTGCAAGATCCTTGCTTGGTTAGCATCATGTGCTTGGTGCTAACTCAAGTACACGAAGCTAGCCAAACAAGGATCACACAATATGTGTGGTTGCATCCAGTGTCATGGAACAGCTGAGATAAGGAATTAGATTTTCCCTCGGGTCAGCCTTGTTGAGTTAACAGTTTTCCCAAAGAGATTTCTTTTACTCTGTGCATTGATCAAGGGAGGATAATGGATGTATCAACATTTCAGAGGAATTCTGGTGAACCTTGCTTGATTTCATGTTATTTTCAAATGTTTTGGTTTCCAGTTTGGGGGGTGGGTGGGGAGAATAGGAATGGCTTCCAGCAAAACTGGTTCAAGGCCTTTTTGTAGTGTCTGAGCTTAGTTGTTTTCTTGCAGATGTTTGATTACCCAAACTGTCATGCCCTGAATCCGAGGAGGAAGATGAACAGCTGACAGGGAACGGGAGTGTGGCTCTGTTGACTGTGGAGGAAACTGGGGAAGGGCAAAGTCCAGCAGGGCAGAGCAGGGGCAAGATAGAACAAGGGAGAGGGAGTTCAGAGGAAGACCCAGGCCCACACACTCTTCATCCTGTGGCACGCAGGGAGGAATGGAGAAGGGAGCAACGTGAGTTGCATGGCTTATGAGGGAGGAAAGGGCCCTGATTCCCTTCATTAGCCACACCTGGGAAGAGAGTTTAAAAGAGATGCATGCTGAGTGTGGTGTCTGCTGGGAGCAAACGTGATTTTATCTTGTGTTGACTTCACTTATCTGTGTTCCTGGTGTCTTCCCAACTGTGTTGAATTACGGCTGTTCCTTCACGTCTGGAATTCCTTCTCCTGCCTTATCAAATTAATTACCTCATTTTGCCTTGCTTGGACTTATAGTTATAGATTTTGTTGACCATGTTTTGGACTTGATTCTCTGTAGCCAAAGGGTGTTCCTGGGAGAGTTTTTCTCTAGCTCAGAAGGTATCCTGGACATTGGGGGCAAAGTTGGAGCTAATAAAGTGACTCCTACTGGTTATCAGACTGTGTTGCCTTTGTTCCACGACCCTTTGGGTCATCACACAAAGTAGGTCACATCATCAGTTCCAAGTGGGTTGTCACAACTTCAATACAGGGAGTTCTTGACTTATGGGCGTTCATTTAGTGACTCTCAAAGTTACAACAGCCCTGAAAAAAGGGACTTATTTTGGGACTCAACTGCGGTCGTAACTCGAAGACTATTGTGCAGCCTTTTATTCTCCTTTTCATCCATCCCTACTTTTGCAGAGTTGGCGAAATTTGGCAGAACGTTTCTTCCTTTCCCTTGAACTGGGAGAGAAAACGTTTGTGGGATTTTTCAGACTGTCTCCTTCCACATCTTGGGAACAAATGGCTAGGAATGTGAAGAGAGCCATTTAAAAAAAAGAGGGGGGGAGGGTTAAATATGTTTTTCCTGCACACAAATTCCTTGTGTGTCCAATCACTTTTGGCCAATAAAGAATTCTATTCTATTCTATTCAAAATCTCACAAAGAGCAGGACAAAATGTTTAATTTCTCCAGTGGGTTGACATAAACATGGCATGTATTAATTTATAATAACATGCTACGTTTCAGGATAAAGCAAAAGACCCCAAGCGAGTGATATGTCAGCTGGACTGTCTCTTTAACCACATGCCTACCATCAATCAATCAAATAAACTACTGCCTCAAACATCTGGAGTCTGCAAGGCACTTGACGGCCAAGCTGTAGCTTTTCATTGCTCTTATTGTGGAAGCCAACAATAGCCAAGCTGTTTCAACCTTAAGGACTTAAAGGGTCCCTCCTATTGCAGGGCTGGCATCTATGCATTGTAATGGGTCCAAGTGGATTTATTTTTAGCATCCCAGAGGCAAGATTAATGGGAAATGGTACCACCTTATCAATGAAGGAGGCCTGGCCTCCATTTGATTTTCTAATGCTATTTGTATTCTTAGTCTTCAAAGGAAGGTTTTGTTGGGAAAAGGATGAGGGTGAGGAAGGGAAGGGAGGGAAAAGAAAGAAAAAAGGTTGAGGAAAGGAAAATAAAATAAATAAAATAAAATATAAAATAAATAAAATAAAATAATTAAAATAAAATATAAAATAAAATATAAAATAAAATAAATGAAAAATGAATAAAATGGAAAGGAAAATAAAATAAAAAGGAAAGGAAAGAAAGATAAAAGGAAAAAAGAATAAGATAAAAAGGAAGAAAAATAAATTAAAAGGAGAGGAAAGTAGAAGAGAGGGG